TTCAAGGAAGACCCTGACTTCTTCAAAAAACTTTTAATAGGTCTTTCCTAGATTTAGGAAATTTTTAAACTATGACCCTGAGCTCTGGTTTTATCCAGGCAATATAAGTCACTCGGCAATTGTTTCCTAAATTTTTGGGTGGTGTTATAAGAAAACTGTTTAACTGTTTTTTTCAAAGAAGGATAGTTCATGCAGAGAGTAGACTGTGAATATTCTGGCAAAGTAGGATAGAGGGGAGGAGTAGAAGTCATATCAGTTTTACCGTCTTTGGTATGAGTGATATCTTGCATTTATAGCTTTTTGTTGGCTCTTCACAATGAGTTTTTTAAAGAGCAATTTTAGAATCCTGTTGTTTCTTTGAGGCTTCTATGAGCCAATTAGAATAACAATCCCGTTTTCTCTGCCTAATTCCAGAGATTTGGCATTGTGCTTCTTAGAAGAATGGTCTTGTTCATGTGGAATTTTCTGTATAATGGCCATTGTGATTCTGAATTATCTTTACTAATATTTTGTCACTTTTATAAATATTTGCAGCTTCTGGGTCCATAATTCTTATACACAAAAAAAAGGTGTACTGGAAGACAGAGTACTGGGATCTTTAGAAATCAAGAGATCCCATGTTTATGTTGGCTTTGGGGTCTCTTGGAGCCAAGATGTCTTTGGTTCTGAGATCTCAGCACACAAGAAAAGAAGAAATAAAGAGGCCCCTGCATTAACAACCTCTTATTGCAACTGCCAACAGTTATCTTAAAGACCGAGAGTTTTCTTGCCAGTGACTTTCAGTCACCGCAAAGCAAAGATCACGTGCCCTGCCACAGCACAAACTAACCCTTGGAACCCCACAATCAAGTGCTTTTCGCAGCACAAACTAACCCTTATTCCCCTGTAAGCTGAAGAGATCAGATTGCTCAAATACGAAAGAGAGCAGCTCATGCCTGAGTGGGACTTACTCATGACTTCTAGGGCCCATTGATGCAGGGGATGTCTCCATGAAGGGAGGAAGGCCCCCTGAGCTGGCCATGTGGGTTCTTGGCTTTGTGCTGGGAAGAATTTGAGAGCGAGCCAACTAGCAATAGAAAGTTTACTGAGGGAGACAGACAACAGATCCTACTCCACAGACAGAGCAGGGATCCTTTCCTGAGCAGGAGGGGGATCCCTTATGGGGTAGTGTTTTTAAATGTTCAAAAACCCCATTAGGAAATAGCCGTAGTGACCAGCATTGTCTTGTGGTCAGTCCATAAAGATTAATCTTGAACTCTTGTCGCAGAAAGGTTTGTGGGAACAGTTTGTAAGGCATCTGGCTTAGCAAACCACCCATCCTCGGGTGGTCCCAGGCCAACGACTTGCTGGCAACTTCCTTGTTCAGGGAGGTTAGGGGCTAGTATCAGCCACAGTTGCTGTACTCAGGCTTTCTCTACTTTCCTTTCTGCTTTATCCCTATACTACCATGAGGAAGACAGGAACCTCTCCCCAACCCCCCCTCCCCCCAACACAAAAGGTTAGCAGTACCTTTCCTGTGTTTCTCAAGGGGTCTCAGGGTCATCAGTAGTCTCCTTCAGGTACTTCATTGGTCATCAGATCTGTCAAAGGACAAAATTAGAACAAATTTAGTTTAAAGATCTCAATTGGCTTCATTTGTGATTCTAGAACCAGGCAACACTTCATTCCGTAAAATGGAATAAGTGTTCCCATGAGTCAAGCAGAGGAGGTTGGTTTTACAGACAGGTGAAGGGCTGAAGAATGCAGAAACAAAGAACAAAAAGCAGGTTGGTCATTTCAAAGTTGCTTTCCTTGTAAGGTGGGACCTGGAAACAGCAATAGAGAAATAACTGATTGGTTAACATCAGGTTTCTTCAGGTTAAGGATTACAGCAGAGGTAACTTCATTATCATGCCAATTGAAACTGGCCTGTTTGGGAAATTAGGCTTTTATCTCTCCTGATTTCTTTTTCTTAAATTTGAAGGTCAGATAATAACTTAGTTGTGGTTTGCTGATGTGGAAATTTAGCGTGGGTGACTCCATTTTGATATGTAGGCTGGTTCTATTGGTGCCTAGTGCAGAAGCTTAGTCCAAAACAATGGCCTATAATTTTTATTTAACAGCCCTCTGGATTCTTGGTTCTGCCCTCTGAGTCATCCTTTATTTTTAATGAAACAGCACATTTGCCACTGAGTAGCCCTACCATCCTGCTTCCTGCCAGTAGAATTTTGGGGCTCCAGTCGTCTCCTTTCATTTTGTACCCTCTCTGTTCCTTTCATTCCAAGTTGGCAGTGTTTCTGCCGAAATACATTTTTCAAAAACTTTGTGAGTCTTCTGTGGATTTCACAGGGCTTCACTCCATTGTAAAAAAGACACGTCCACGGATCTTTTCAAAATAATCCCTTCTGTATCTTTGGTTCATGCTAAGATGCTTTAGGGACAATGCCTTTAAATTCCTAGAGGCCCTCTGGTTGGATTGAAAGGATCTGTGAGGCACACCCTTCCTCACTTGAAAGGAACCTTTGTGCGACTGAATAATGTGAGCTTCTGATCTTTCTGAGGTTTTAGCAAAAGGTTATGCAGTCACACTCTCAACCTATTCTGTAAAGCCTTGCTTTCCTGACAGTGATCTCTTAGTTTTAGTGTCTTTTGCTCTCTTGGAACTCTGATAATTGTTAAAATCAAGTCCTGTTTCCTTTTAGTGTAAGTTCTTTCCTTAATTGCTTTCTCTCTCTTGGATTTTACTGTAAGTGGCAAGAAGAATCCAAGTAGCATTTTCAAACCCTTGCTTGAAAATCTCTTTAACTGTATAATCGCTTACAAGTTTTGCTTCCCGCATAACTGCGGCATACAATTTTGCTCAGCTTTCTGCCACCGTAACAAAGATTTCCCTTCCTCCAATTTCCGATACCATGTTCCTCGTTTCCATTTGAGCCCTCACCAGCAGCATCCTTAAAGTCCAGATGTCTATTCATAATCTGTTCAAAGCGTTTTAGGCCTTCTCTGTGACACTCAAATTTTCCCAGTGTTCAGTTGTGAAGCTCCTTCCACATGTTAGATATTTGTTACAGCAGCACCCTATTTCCTGGTACTAAACTCTTACTTTTCTACTGTCGTGTAACAAATCACAAATTTAATGGCTTAAAATTAACATTTGCTGTCTGTCAGTTCCCCAGAGGTCAGGAATCTGGGCACAACTTAACTGGAATCCTTTGCTCTTTCTTTCTTACAATGCTTTCTTACAAGGTACCAGCTGGGCTGCATTTTCATCTAAAGGCTTAGTTTGGGGAATAATTTGCTTCCAAGCTCGTTCAGGTTGTTGGCAGAGTTCATTTCCTTGCAGGTGCGTGCCTAAGGACCCCGGAGCCTTACTGAGTTCTTCAGCTATGTGCCACCTGAGGTCCCCATAGTTCCCTGCCACGTGGCACTCTTACGGGCTCTCTCATGACATGGCACCTTATTTCTTTAAGACCAGCAGGAAAATCTCTCACTTCAGTCTGTTAAGACTGAGTCTCATACATTGTAACATAATCACAGGAGTGATATCCTATCACCTTTGCTAAATCCTACTGGGTCAGAAGCAAGTTATGAGTTCTATCTACACCCAAGGGAGGGGAAGTATATACAAAGGTGTGACTCACTGGGAGGCACCTTAGGATGTGTGTCCCACAGGTGGTCTAATAGGCTGAATAGTGGTCCCCAAAGATATCAGGTCATAGTCCCTGGAAGCTGTAAATGTTGCTTATTTGGAAAAAAGAATCTTTGCAGGTGTGATTAAGACAGTGATCTTCTATGGGGATGAGGGGTACTATTAAATAAATACAATCACATATATCCTTATAGAAATGAGGCAGGGGAAAATTACACACATATATAGAGGGGAAGGCCATGTGAAGATGGAGTATAGAGAGATTTGAAGATGCCTTGATCAAAGATTGGCATGATGCGGCTACAACCAAGGAATGCTGGCAGCCACCAGAAGCTAGGAGAGGCAAGGAACAGATTCTCCTGTATAGCTTTCACGGGAGTATAGCCCAGCTGACATCTTGATTGTAGTTCAGTGAGACTGATTTTGCCCTCCAGAACTGGAAGACAATAGATTTCTATCGTTTTAAGCCACATAGTTTGTGGTAATTTGTTAACAGCCACAGGAAACCATTAATAATATAAATGAGTATTAAATGATACTCAAGAGTTGCTTTTTTTAATGCATCATTCACTGATTATTCAATGAGGCTAAGTGTCTTTTCATAAAGTTATTGTTCAGATGTTTTCTTTGAGTTTTCCAACTCATATATTTTGCCTCTTTTTCTTTTCGACTTACTCTCTTTCTTATTGATTAGTAGGAGTTCTTTACACAGTGTAACTACTAATCTGATGTCAGTTATACATGTGATATTTGTCTTCTAATCTGTAGATTGGCTTTTTTTTTTTTTTTTTACCTTGTTTATGGTGTGTTCAACATTCAGATTTGTTTTCGACTATTTTTATTATGGAAAATTTTAAACATACCCAAAAGAAGAAAGAATGGTGTAATAGATCTTCTACATGCCTATCAGTCAGTTCAACAATTATCAGTATTTTTTCCCAGAACTATTTATTTTTTTTTTTAGGTTTGTACTTTTTGTGCATTATCTAAGAATTCTTTAAATAAAGAGTGAGTTGCTGTTATTGGTATGGCTGAGTATTTCTATCATGATAACACTCATTCTCTTTTGCTTTTACATAAATGTTATCTTATGTGTAATACTTTTTAATATATTCAAAACATTTCTGGCCCCAGTGTTAATATCTTCTTCCTGAACAGCCTGTTCTTATTCAGGACAAGCTGTTGAGTCAGATCTTGGGAACTCACCAGTTGTCCCAACAATGTCATGCATGTTACCATAGTGCTTGTTGAAAATCTCATATAAGAATTAAGAAGGCAAGTCATTCAGAAGATTTCAGAATATGCCTGAGTCAGCTATGTAGGCATTTGTGTTTTTACTAAATCTCAATTTTTTTTTTTTTCTTATTTCTAGTGTGCCATCTGGGCTTGAAGGCATGAAAGAACAGGACCTTTGCAACAAGATAATGGCTAAAATCCTGGAAAATTATAATACCCTGTTTGAAGTAGAATATACAGAAAATGATAATCAGAGGTGTGAAAACCTGGCTAGGCTTATCATAGTAAAAGTAAGTAACTTGGTATTTAATTTTCAGTATTACTATTATTTTGGATAGAAGATTTCATTTAAGTTACTCTTTGTCATAAAAATTCCATATTGATATAACTTCAGATTATTATTTCTATGTGTGAGTTCTTCTTAGGAAATCTATTCGATCAAATGTTTATTAAATCGATATATAGTCTTCTAAGATTCAAGAATAATAGCAATTTTATATTTCCTTGTTGCTGTAAAATCGTCTCTAAAGCACTCACGTGAGCCCAGTGTTGGTCAGTTGGTTGCACCACCCCTTTTGTGGGAGCCCGATGTTGCAGCAGGGTACGTGTGTATGGCTGTGTTCAGGAGTGCAAGCTCACTAACCAGATTGCAGATTCCTGAGGACAGCGTTACTATGTGTTTCTGTTTCTCTTGTGTTCGACACACTTTGAAGCTTAACCTCTGATTTGAAGTCCTATATATTAGTGGTTGGTAACGATCATCAATAAAGAAGAGTATTTTAAAGACCTATAAAGGAGTCCCTGACTAAAGGGACTAGCTAAAGATTTATTAGCTTAATCTTTTTATACATTGTCTGATAATTTATAACATATTCTTCATATATTAGGTAAATACCTGTAGGTATTTACTGTGGGAGCCAAATACAGATATCTTAGGTAGATGAAGAATGTAACTGCTACTCTCCTAATGCAAGTTTCAGATCAGACCTAGAGGTAGATAGTCATGATGGGAAACTCTGTGTTTATACTCTGGAAGCATCACATTCTGCTAAAGCAGAATATTTGGTGCCTTTTTTTTTTTTTTTTTTTTAAATCTTGCTGGTAGTCTCTTCTCTGAAAAGACAGAAAATGCAACAAGGGAATGTGATTCTCTGGACTTAATTACAACCAGAAAGAATGAAATAGCCATTGTAGAGTTCATAATAATAAAAGGAGACCATGCTAGCCACAGCTAGATATGCATATCTGGACAATGCTTAGAAAGCGGGTTTTTTTTAAATTCCAAAGGTCATAGAAACATTAGATAGAGACTAAGAGGAAGCTGGATTTAAAAGGAATTGGGAGATTCCCAATAAAATCACTAACATACTGAAAAAGAAGAAAAATGGGAGGGCAACTAAAGAAAATATCTTTCTAATTCATTCTCTCACATGAGAGATGTGAGGATGTGTGCAAAGAGGAAATGGGAACAAAACAAGGCATAAATACACAGAGTGACAGAGACATAGTATCTGATGCGGTCAATATAATTGTAAAGTTATGCACTTTGGGTTCATAAAAGGATTTACATAAATATGAAGAAATCAAAATAATAGTGGAGTTGAATATCATCCACAGATTTTAACTTCTAGCACAGTATTAGATGTCAGTGTGATGTGATTGCCAAAAACACAAATTCAGACACCAAGTACATTAATGGTTTCTGGAATAAAGAATTAAATTGTCTCACTAAACTTGGTATAGGTCAGGCAATGGCTGTAGTATTATGTTAGAGTCTGAGTACTACATTCTGACTCCCCAGATAATCACCACCAATCCACATTTATTCTCACTAAATATATATTTGCCTGGATGACTGTCTTTTACATCAGTTATCACACTGCTGATGGCTTTTAAGTCATAGCTCTAGCCCCAGCCCATCTTAAAAGCAATAGAGTCATATTTCCTAAATCCATGTTGGTACTTCAAATGTATCACACACAAAACATCATCTCCAAAACCTGTCCTTTCCAACTTTAGTTTGCCAGTCCCTTGGCCTGCTATCTTAGTCAGCTCAGGCCACTGTAATAAAATAGTATAGACTGGGTGGCTTAAACAGCAAACATTTATTTCTCACAGTTGTAGAATCTGGGAAGGCCAAGATCAAGGTGCTGGCAGATCCAGTGTCTGGTGAGGGTCCACTTCCTGGTATGCTGATGGCTGTTGTCTTACTGTCGTCACATGGCAGAGAGAAAAGAGATTCCATGTTTCCTCCTTTGGTTATGTGGCCATTAATCCTATCATAGGTTCCCCACTCTCATGACCTATTCTAACCCTAATTACCTCCCAAAGGCCCCTCCTTCAAGTACCATCATATTGGGCTTCAGGATTTTAAGGCTTGAATTTAGGGTGACATAAACTTTTAGTATGTAACACCTGCCAAACTAGAACCCTTCGTTTTATCCTAACTCCTTCTTTAACCGTTCCCACTCAGATTCATATTCTGCTTTATACATATCCCTTGAAATGAATGTCTCTTGTCTACCCCACTGCCACGCTTTAGATTAGGCCCTTATTATAGCCACACAATTTCAAACTGTTATCCCACCTATGGGCTCACCTCTTCCCATCTCCTTTCCACCAGTAATAGAATGATGTTCCTGAAAAACAAAGTTGATCATACTCCTCCTTTAAATTAACAAACCTTTTACTGTTATTGTTTTGCCTCCTGCTCCCTTTGTGACAATATAAAATTCAGACTCCTTAACTTAGAATTCAAGCCCTTGACACTCCGTCCTCAACCCAAACTTTCCCCATTAAATAATGAATGAATATTGAATAGCTCTTGTTTCCTTCCTACTACTTTGGCCCCTTTAAGTCTTTTCTGAGGACTTTTCTTTCTCAGTCATACTTCAACATTGCTATTTCCTAGGCTCATTCCTCAGTCTTAAGTTGAGAGCTCTGCCTTGCAAACCATACATATATATCTAACTGCACAGAGGTAACTTGCACCTGCATGTCCCATGAATCGACTTATCTTTTCTTGCCCTTGAAGGTCTAATGTTCCATTTGTATTCTGGGACTTCACAAATGGCCTGTCCAGTCACAGAATTGCTCTAGGTTCATATCCGCCGTGAGACTGTCTTTATTAGACAACATTGCTATCTATTGCTCATTATATCTTTGGGAATTTAAAAGTCTTCAGAACATGTCATTCATATGCCATGTTTTGTTTTTGTTTTTTTTTTTTTTTTTGAGACAGAGCCTCACTGTGTTGCCTGGGCTAGAGTGCCGTGGCATCATCCTAGCTCACAGCAACCTCAAACTTCTGGGCTCAAGCGATCCTCCTGCCTCAGCCTCCCGAGTAGCTGGGACTACAGGCATGCGCCACCATGCCCGGCTAATTTTTTCTATGTATTTTTAGTTGTCCAATTAATTTCTTTCTAATTTTAGTAGAGACGGGGTCTTGCTCTTGCTCAGGCTGGTTTCGAACCCCTGAGCTCAAACAATCCGCCCGCCTCGGCCTCCCAGAGAGCTAGGATTACAGGCGTGAGCCACTGCGCCCGGCCTGCCATGTTTTTATGTATATCATTGGAGTTGCAAATCTTTGTACTTTAATGCTTTATTTGTTTATGGGAAATAATAGTCATTTTGGGCTATGGCATATCACTGAGTTGGGGTGTGGTGATTATATAGTATGTTTAAAATTTAAATTTGGCTATAAAATAATTATGCTGATTTTCTTATGTGATTCATAAGCAAACCCTCAAAACAGTTATTTAAAAATGCTTTGAGTAAAAACAAAATATTAGAATGGCCTTTCATAATGATTAGTTTGAAGAAAGTGCTCACCTATTAATATGTTATGGCAAGTTGGATTACAAAGTTCAATTTTTTTTTTTTTTTTTTTTTTTTAACATTTGACTTCCAGGTCAAAAAGTTCAGTCTTATGTAGAGTCAGAGTCACTTGCCACATAAACTGATATATCACATAAGCTTCCTGAACCATTTCCCATACCTTTTTTATGCTCAAAAACATTGCATGTCTTCATTTTCATGTAGGATCATAGCCTAAGCACAATTAACTTAAGCAAATGTTTGTTCACTTTTGTCTTATTTAATACAAAGCTACTCTGTGCAAAGCTCTGGACTATGTGCTAGGGAGCTTCAAAAATGAATAAGACGTCCCTACAGGAGCTTATAGTCTACAACAGACAAAATCAGTGCAGGGACAAAGGGGCAAAAGGGAATTAAAAGGGGTTCATGCCAGACATTGTGCCAAGTTCTATATGTATTATCTAATTTACATTTCACAGTAACCTTGTAAAGTAAGTAATCTTAATACCACTTTACAAATGGGGAAATCTACAGGGTAGATTGTTCAAGCTCACACAGCAGTAAATGACAGAGCTGGGCTTTGAAATCAAGAAAGTACTGATTACGGGCCAAGTAGAGAAATAACCAAAATCTTGGAGTTTTAAATTGGACTATAAGCATTTATGCATTTATTCATTCAGTGAGTATGTATTGTATTAATAGCAACTTAGTGTCAGGGAAGTACTTGAACTCTGTTCTTCTGACTCTAGTTCCTGTATGTTTTCACTACTCTTAGCCTCTTCTGTAGAATCTCAAGAATACTCCGAACTTCTGGGCAACAGGGAGTCATAACAGGGAAAAAAAGATATTTTGGATTTTTTGTTGTTGCTGTTTACTTGTTTTTAATTTGGTTGTATTGTCTCTTCCTTTTGTGTGGGCAAATTTATATAGTGAGAATGACTAACGTGTACCCACCAAAATCTATGTGTTATAATTTTGATCATCTATGAACTTAGAGGTAGCACTCAATTAGAATTCATTTGCAATTTTCTTCAGATCAAATCCTTCTTTGGATAGTGGTTATAATTTTTAGATAAGTCCTGAAACTGAAGGTTAAAAAATACTAAATGATATTTAGGAAAAGCAAAGATAAAATCCTATGAAGAATGTTGTTTTCTTGAATGACTCAAATGGGTACTTTCTAGTAGTGGAAACTGATTAGATTAGCAGGAAATGTAAAGCATTAAGTAATAAAAGTAATATTAAAAGTTATTGCCAGCCTAGAAGTGCTTTTATGGCTCCAATTTTGAGATCATAGTCATATATTTACAATTCAGATTGCTATTAATTTCTTCTCCCCAGACGTTTTATAGAGTGATTATAAATAAACACTAGAAAGTCATGTCTGCTCAGGAATCATTAGAAATGATTAGCTATATCTGCCAAGTGTTAAATTCCTCCTTTCCTATTATGGAGAATATTTAACAAAATACAG